AGAGAGATATGCAGGTGACTTAAAAGCTCTATGTTCGACTGTTTAGTCCAATTTCAAACTAATTAATGGCTGTAAATATGAGACTGAAATGATCAATGATCCATCAACTAGGAGTCACAGTCAAAAGGCGCTCAAAGAAGCCCACTTTTCCAAACCGTCCCCCAGTGAGACGGCCAAGAAGTCCCGTAGATCAGTTTTGAAAAACTCGGCAAGTTGCCTTGGTGACCGTCCAGGCTGCACTGACTGGCACTATCTCTATTTTTCCCCCCATCTCCCATCCACATCTATACACTTAAATAAAAAAATCAAATGCTCTCTTTCAAATATTCAACAGTCCCTTCTTTTCCCTGGGAGAGGTAGGGAGTATTGTTGAATAATGCAGCCAGACAGGGATCTCCCTGAGATGATCTCTACAGGCATCACTGAGCAGGTCTGATCCCACTTGAGTAGCATCTATCATGGTGACATCATCATTCACACAAGGAGATCTGATCAGACAGTAGTACACTACTCTACTACTTGAGCCAACTCTAAAGCAGGCAGTGGTGTTACTCATTTAAACCAATCTACTGGCCATCTGTTGATGCTAAAATCATGGTCAGACTGCCATTTCTAAATCAAACACCATCAGTTTGCCTTTATTGCTTTCTGCTCAACACTAACACGTTTTCCAGGAAGGGAAAAAAAATGGTAGCTTGCAAAGACACATATTCTCTTTTACCTTGTGTGATTCTAGTGGGTGTGTGAATGTAAAAAACCACAGGGACAAGCAGCAGAGGAACGAGAAAACAACATCTACATGCAGCAGCAGCAGGTCTCTAGCTCGCAGATTAGGGCGCTGGGAGCACTTTGCAGGTTGTTGTCACAGGTATGACGAGGGAGACTGCGCTTGCTATCCCCAGGTTACAAAAGGTGTGAACAAAAATATGCAGCCAATTTGTTTTGTGCAGAATTAGAAGTGGAACAACACAATCCTCCTGTGCGCTTCAGGTTTTTTTTTTTTTTTTTCCTGCTGTTTAATCCCTGCTTTAACTATCTTTGACTGATTTTAACAAATACACTCAGAGGTATAAATGAACACGTATGCTTTGGTTCAAATGGTTATTTTAACTGGACAGAGAGCGACATCAAATCGACAGATTTAACACAAAACACAGCATCAAAAAAAAAAGGAAAAAAAGAAAGAAACTGGTCCAATCCAACAAGCTCAATCAAATCACAAGGACAAAGAGAGAGTGAGAGGGTTGGCACAGGAATCACTGATCTTGGGGGAATTGGCAAGACCAACAGCAAGCAAGTGTATTACATATGGCGTGCCATTTTCACAGCTTCCACAAAGAGAACACAAAAAGTGTTACATCTCACTATCTAAGATTAATAAACAAAATCCAGATATGCTTAATCTTTTTGTAGGACAAACGGAGGTAAACCGAGCCAGTGGAAGATTTTTTTTTTCAAGTTCACGTCTGAGCTTAAGAGTGCAAGCAAGATGACGAGACGTGCAGTCTGAGCCGAGCAAAAGGAAGCAAAATGAAGCCGTCCTCCCACTAAATCTATGAGGTGTCAGTCAGGAAAGTGGCCTGCCAGGGATGACTTTCAGCTCCTAATCAAGCCAGATGGTTTCTTAACACTGAATAAATGAATTGATTTTCTGTGTCGCGTCTCTAACTGGGTTCATATTCTTCTCTGCATGACAAAAAAAAAAGGTGGCCGGGCATGAGAACACGAGAGCAATGATCTGATGGCGAATCTCCTCAGTCCTCGCTAACATGACTAACATGTTCGCAGTGTTTGTATCTGTTATGTTGATGAAGTGTTAGGATGAGGCCTTTGTCGTCACAGTTGTAAACTGCTCACACCTTAAAGTGTTAACTTCTGCGTCCTAACCCACTCCACTTTATTACTATCATTAGATGGATCGGTGCACTTTCCCTATGGTGTGAACTGCTATCAATTATGCAGCTATCTCTCAATTATTGTATATTGTTAAAGCGGCTGCTAATGAATTGTGAAACCACTGTGTTATGGTGTAATTGTACTGGGCAATAACCAGCTACTGCACACTGAAGCCTTTTTCAATTACATCTGGGTGGCAGTTTTTTTCAGTCATTAAGCACATTTGGTGTAAAAAGGATGTCCACCTTACACTTAGCCAAAGGTGTTTCTGCAGTTGCCTTTAGCTAGTAGCATCTCTGCCCCCTCTGAAAAAGCCACTGCTGCATGTGAGAGGACTCCCAGGACAACACAAGAGTACCCACTGTGATTTTCACCGGGGGATTTCGATATTCACACCTGCACAAGGTGTTGTTTGGGAGTCTGATAAGCATGTGCGAAACCGAAGGGGTGATTAGAATGGGGGATCTTATTTTAAAGGGATCTTTTTCCAATCTTTCGTTTTCGAGGGACGGCGCTGTTTGTTTAGTGCTTTCACGGATGACAATAAGAAAGGAGAGACAAAAGGAATCAGGCACGGTGTATCTTAGATACCAGCCATGTGTCTAATTGAAGCTGCACACAGCCATATGGGCATGTGCGAAAAATAGAATATCCAATAACTGCATAAGGATTCGAGCAGCAGCATGTAGATGAATAAAATATTTCCAACGTCATTGCCAGCCTCAGTGAGGCCTAATCTCACAGCTATTGCAATGATTCATTCTCATCTTCTAAGCGTTCTAAGTGTATATGTGCAAAATCATTTCCAAACCCCATCATTACAGGATCAGAGGCTGAAAAACAAAGTGCATGGAGAGTTGCTCCTCCTCTCCCTACATTGGTGATGTTCAGAGGCAGCCTGTTATTGGAGGTGTTAATTGGCAAATTCAGTACAAGTCAAGAGCATGTTCCCTGATGTCCTCGCCCAGCAAGGGCTAGGTCATTAAACCGAGAATGGATTCTTTCATGCTGCCTTAACCCTTCAATTGCAAGTTGCCATTCGGCAAACATTCCCCATGTTCCAACCCACCCCCGTGTGTCGAGGAGAAAAACAACGTTCACTGACAATAAAATAACAAGAGGATGACATCTTGAGAGCCAGACTTTTGGTCCTAGAATTATTTCAAATTGGCAGTCAAAATGTCTTTTAAAAAGTTCAGAAGTTTACGGATATCAAGCTCTAAAATCTAACACGAGTTAACTACAACAGCTTCAACGGCTGAATAATGGGATTCTCAGAACAATGGCTTCATCAAACATCACCTATCAGTGCTTTGGTGTATTGAAGAAGCCTGAAATGTGAGCCTCCTTTGGGGTTCTGGGTGCGATCTCACCACTGCCTCTGTCATCACTTGCTGTGACTGCCAAATCTCTGCTCCAGAAATCAGGGTTTTCTCAGACCAAGCACTGCAACAAACACAAACGGGGGAGAGAAGGGCCGTTTTGAGACTTTGCACACAGCACATCGATGGCTTCAACACATTTAATCGAACACAAAAGTCAGCCCCAGCGCTTCTGCGACAGAGAGCACGAGGAGCCCAACGCATGGCAGGACAACTGTGAGGTGATACTCGCAGCTCGCAACGCCATGAGAGTTGGCAGTCTCTCATGCCAACGGTGACCAGTGCACAGGCAGTTGAATATGCTTCTCTCTAAGTTGTTAATTATCGAAATGACATTGATGTGAAGAGGCCATTGTAGCCTGGTGACCTTACTCCACTTGCTATCTCTTTGTTTTGTTTCCATTGATTAGACCTTTTGACAATCTCTTTTTTCTCCTCCTCCTGGTGTTATATCTTCTTAGCGATGGCACGATCTGATAACATTGTTTAAATATTTAGAAGAGTTATTGTTGGGAAATAATGACTCGGTGAAATAGTACCTCATCTGGCTCTAGTGTAATAATAAACTAATCACAGGCAAATTAAGAAAAGGTGTGGTTGTAAAATAATGTGAAAATTTGTCAAATATTTTTGCTGTAAATAGCTATAATAATATAGTTTATATTATAAATTAATATGAAATTTAAAGCACTAAGAAGAAGATCATGTCGGTTTGAATTATGGATGATGTATATTAAATATTGTTAGCAAGAATTAAAACAGGAAGGAAACTATTTATTTTTTAAGATTAAAAGCAATTTAAAAAAACAAAAACTTTTCTGTCAAAGGCAACATGAATGCTTTTTGTAATAAATTAAAGGACAGAATTCAATGTTTCAAATTAACATTTTCACTTTTTTTGCAAACTCCTGGTACAGGCCAGTTAAACAGCCGTGTATTCAATCACTACTGATGTAAACAAACCTTCAGCAGATGAATCAGGAGAGACTTCCCTTTTGTGCACAACTGGATTATAGTTTGCATATTGATTGTGACAGTGCTCGACATAAATGTTGCAGCTTGTCACTGGAGACGCTGTTTTAGATTGTGGTTTAAAGAAGGTGCTATAGTAACTTGTAAAATGTAAGACACAGCTGCATGCTCCTTCTGTAAACAACATTGTTGTTGTGCTGATGCCCAGCTTGAACACAAATTTGACATTATTAAATTCATCCAAAACAAAGCTGAATATTACTTAGAAAACAAAAATGAATTCCTTTGAGGTGTGTTGAATGGGTACAAACTTGATTTGCAATGTGCTCATTCATTTTTAACATATTAATGAATCAATGAATGCTGCAGAACTTGAAACATACGTAATTTTTTTAACCAGTTTGAAAAATATTTTTAAATCCTGAAAGTGGTTATTTGGCTATTTTTTTTTCATGTTTATACATATTTCAATATTTACTATGTGTTCTATCAAATTTTTTGATTGATTTGAATTACTTCACTTTTATTTGCTAGACTGGATGTTTATTTTTATGTGGCATAGCCATTTGGGTAGATAATGTAATAAGCTTTTAAATTAGTTACTACTGTCCAAAATCTCAAAAGTTACTCTGTCAACCTTAATTCTGATGATTTAAACTGCACATCACCACATTGTGTGTTAAGTATTATACCCTGTAGTAGGGCTGCTCAATAAACACGTTAAAAAACAAGCAATACATGAAAAATGTACAAGTGGAAAAATATATATATTAAAATAATACCAAACAATTGAGGTAGTGGTGGCACACCAAACACTTTGAAACACCACACATGACAAAACCTATGGAGAAAACAAGGGCAACATGGCATGCGGCACAGTAAAGTAAATTTAATCTTGATTACATTAAATGTTTTCATGATCATGGGAAGCAAAAATTATAATTGAACTTGAAACCTTGATTAATTAAACCCCTATATAGAACTCAATCCTCTTAGAAACACTCCAGTAGCATCAGCTCATCTTGCAAGCACAAGCTGTGTCTGCAGGCTACAGAGATCAGCTTCTTTACAGGATCACCTACAGGATACCATAAGCTGAGGTAAGAGTGCCGACGGCTGTACTGCTCATCCCCTTTCCGCCCTCTCTCTGTCTGCTTGAGGACGACTACAGTCCCCTGAAGCCGCTGACTTCCCTGCCACCCCGAACTCTGTGCAACAGCGACTGGTGGTGCAGAAGCACTGCTGATTAGCATGCAGTAATGATGGTGAGCTGGACTCCATTGTTCTAACACCTCCCCTCTCCTCCGCACCAATCTGTCACCATTCAGTGGGCTCGAGCTGCCTCAAATGCCTCTCTCCACAAATGAGATGGATAATTAGTTGCCCCTCACGAATGCTGCACTCTTCTCACCCCTGATTGCTTTCACCTTCTTGCTCCTGGCAATTTTGACACCTTGTAATCAGCCTGCTACTTCTCCGTCTCTCAATCCATATCCTTTTTTTTTATGTGTGTGTGTGTGCGTGTGTGTGTGTCCTTTCATTTTTTTGGAGGGCTTGAATTTATTTCAAATCTTCTTCCTCAAGTACCCAATGTTTCATGGAGGAAAGTGGCACTTATATCTCATATTCTACTTCAAATGATGGCAAAAATGCCCTAGAGCATATATGTGGTTATCTTAAACAATTCTCATTACTGTGCCCACGAGCAGGTATAGATATACAGTGTGCAGAAACATGAAGAAGAAAAAAACTAGCTGTCACTACGAGTTTCCTCCCCTTAATAACAATGAATGACAACATAATTATGAGCAAGCAGCTGTTCATGATCCCAGAGAGAAAAGCATGCAGGCTGCACAATGTTCAACTCTTCGCAGATTAACCAGACAGCATCATTAGGGATATGTACTTGCCAAAAAAAATATGAATACATTCTCCCCTAAGTGTCCATGAAGTGATGTGGAATGTAAAATTATGTGGTTTGTTTTGGAAAAATTTGCTATTTTTTGCACATTTACTTTTGATCAATTTGTAGAGCGGCCGCATCTGACAAGATTGAATACTACTTGTATGCAGACGATGTGTTATTATGTGTTGTGGTTTGGTAGACTAGATAGCATTACTTCATCACATTTTTACACACACACCTTAAAGCTATTTCTGAAACATAGAGAAATGCTCAGCACTACATACCGGTTAAGATAGAAATCAATCAGTACTCTTAGAAGTATGCGATTATGAGTAGTCAGTTATAACACGCCAACACTTTTTTTTTGAAGGGGAAAAAAAAGGTTGTTTGCAGTCTTCACACCAGCTCATCTACCCACCACAAGTGTTACCAACCCATAGCAGAAGGGCTGCGAGGTCTTCTCTGCAACAACAATGCTCCAACACACAGGGTCTCCTTTTCCCTCAAACATCCTCACACTGAATGCTGGAAATCACTGCAATTGTTTGTGGAGGTGTGAATAAATACTGCAAAAGCTGATGCTCCTGTATAGAAAAGACCCGGGTTTAGTCGAATGTAAGGTACTGAACTGTAGAAGATGCACATTGACACATCGTCTTTCTTCATAATTATTTCAAATCATGTGGTTACATGTTGATTTTTTCTATTGAATGAAGTTGAATTTGAACTAAGGTAAAAAAAATTAAAAAACAGAACTACATAAACACTCAAGTTTTTGGGCATCCAACTAAACATTAAGCTGGTGTTTAATGATATGTGTAGCCATCTGTGTTGCCTGCTTTAATAACGACATAAAGCATTAAAATGTTATGATGATTTATAAGTGTTAAAGATAGCATTACCCCTTACAAATGAGGGAGAAATTATTTTAAAATATATATTTCTTTAAAGCCAATCAGAAAATTCTCGTTGTAAATACATTTTTAAAAAGTCAATAGTATGAAAATGTTTAAGAAAGTTAAATGCACATTATATCCACCGTATGTAGCCTACATCTATTGAAATATTTTCATATATTTTTTGAAAGCGTTAAAACATTCAATAAGAGAGTAAATGTTGGCTTTATTTGCTCATATATACCATAAAATGCATCATCTTCACTCAGAACTAGAGGAAAACCTCAGCACGATATTAGAAAAATATAATGGGCAAAGAAGTGTACCATTCAATTCTTCAGTATTAAATAAATGTATTCAAGTCTTATTGCAATGTCTTTAAAAATCCATTACAGCGCATATAACTCGTGGCAGGCAGGACTAGACCATGAATACTGTGAGGAGTACTTGAGGCCTTCGCCCGTCAGTCTCTGCTTCCAATGTCAGTCTTCGGCTTCATTCTTGGGCGAGAAATGCGAGTAGAGGTGGCTGTTCATTCGGCCCTGAGGAACCACAGCGTGGCAAAAAGCACATTTATCGGGAGCCAGCTCAGTCCACACGTTGCCCGCATCGCTCAGCTCAGGGCTCCAGAGGGGCTGCAGAGCAGGAGGAACCAAAGAAGAATATATATTATTTATACGCTAAACAATCCTCACACTCGCCCTATCAAAGTATGCTGGTATGCTTGGCCTTAAAGTTGCTTCAGGAAACACATGAACATGTCCTCTGTCAACCCAAGTCTGCCTAAATATGAAATAACAGAAAGGCAAATTGCTAGACTCGAGCGTTTACTATTTGTGTGTTTTCCTGTTATAAATGTGCGTGGTGATGTAATCCAGGGAAGGAATCGTACTTTTAGATCTCGCAGCATGTCATTCACATTTTTTTATTGAAGCATTTATACACATCAGCAAATAAAATCCCACTTAACCATCATACTTGTTGTATCAGATTCAGACACTCTAACGTGCTTCCATCTGGTTCACACATTCTAGCAAAGATGCCAAATATAACCAGAGCATCCATGCTTAAGTAAAAAAAAGAATCTGCACACATTACACAGTAATACAGTTAAGCCAAGGGGATTTTTTTTTTCTTCTTCTTTTTTTTTTTTTTTTTTGGACTTCACACCGTTTCACTCCTCCATTAGCAAAGACCAATCACAAACTGATAATTTGCTACTAGTTTCCTCAGACCTTCTCCTGTGATTCTCACCTGCTGAGGTCCCCACACGCCCTCCTGGGAGAGCGAGGATGATGTGGAGTGGGAGGGGGGATGGAGGATAGACAAAAGACATGGGCAGATCGACGGGCTCCTCCTCCGTCAGTGTGGAGGGCACGCCGCTGCCGCCGAGAGGTTGCTTCGGGGGCGCGGTCAGGCCGATGTGTCTCTCTGGAGCGCTGTTCAGGAAGTCGTATTCACTGTCTGCAGGGGGCGGGAATTTGACGCTAAGTTTGTTGAGAGAGTCTACAAAGTCTCTGTCCTCCGGGCTGGCGCCACGAGACGCCAGAGACGTGGGTGGGAGCGGGACTTCCACTGCTGACCTCAGAGCCGTGGAGAAGGGTCTCTCTGCCTCCGCTGTGCGGTCTGTGCACTGGATGGGCATGGAGAACTGCTGATCTGTCAGACGGCAGATAAAACATGAAATATCACAAACGGTGTCGGAAATGTTGAAGCACATTTTAAGCTTGGCTAATTTTTAGAAGTTGCACACATTAAAAGATAAAAAGGGTCCTTTTAATAAGTAGAGAGAGCTAATTCAATCACATTGTATTTACTATTATGAGAAAAATGTGGTTTCATTATTACCCTGCTAGGAACAACATCATGTATTTTCCTGTGGAATTATTAAATGTGTCTATCCACACTTTTTCACATTGGAGGCCAGCCATAGTTCGAGAGGGCAATAAAGTATTCATGTATAGTCTTAGTTAAGGTGTTGCCATCTAATTATCTTAGAGAACAAAACAAAAACATGTAAACTCATAAGCTGTTATGATGAATAAAAACCTATTTCATTCCAACACATTCACTTTAAAGTGATTGAATTAATAAAAACAAACATATTTAAGCGCAGACCTAAAAAAAAAAAATTAAAAAAAAACCGCAGGTAAAAAAACAACAACAGCTATGCATGTTACCGCTTGATGTATCACTTCTTCCATGGAATCTTTTTAGGTGATCTTTTTGTCTTCTGGTTAGCGACTGAATCTGCCGGAATTTCCCTTGAATGGCTTCAAATGCACCAAGCATGTCCTGACTGGCAAAAAATATTAAAAAGTGATTAAAAAGAAAACAACCTCCAATTAAAAGGTCATGTTCAATATTTATTAAAAAATAATAATAATAATAAATGTGTGCAAGGAGAGACGCATACTTGTTAACGCTGCTGTTTCCAGGCATTTTAGTTGTAACGGCAGCAGTGCCCATATTCTCCTGAAACAAAAAAAAAACACATTGCATTTATATTGATCATTAGCAACAATAATGATAAGAGCACAATGTTAATACAGACACATCACATATATATATACTGGAAAGTGAAAAGTGCTTCCTGGTCTGTTTAATAAGAGTAAAGCTCAAGCTGCTGAGCTGTGCAGTGATATAATCCTCTAGCACCATCTGGTGAAGTAAGAGTGGATACACCTTGTGTAGAAGAGAAGAGGCGGGGAATAGTTACAGCAGCAAAATAAAAGGAGGTGTCTGCAGTTGCATGAATTATTGAATCTAATAAATGGACGTACGATAATAAAACATATTGACATGTGGAAACATGTGTCTGTCTGTAAACTGCTGGATTAAAAATACTTGTTTGAAAAAGTAGATATTTGTAGCCTAACGAGCGGAGAATAAAATGCTCAAATGTAATGCTGTTATGATAGAGTCCTAAAGACAAAGCTCTAAAGTTGTCACAGTATAGATAGAGAAGCCATTTACCCAACATAAAAGTCACTGCTTTATTGATTTTCCATTGGTCGTATGAGTTCCTGTCACAAACCTGTCGACATACAGTAAGAGCAACAAGCAGAAGTTCTGCTTACGTGTGTGTGTCTGTATATCAGAGGAAGCTGTAAGAGCACTCATGTTTAATTCAGGGTGTAAGCATGTAGAAAAACCTGTTCTGAGGCCACCACATTGCAGTTTGGTTTTTTACATAGCATAAAAAAAAAATAGAATAAAGCACTGGCAAATCACATCAAACATACCGAGTACTGTGTTTTTCTAAAAGCACTGACCCCCTCGAGGAGATGGTTGCAAGGCTCACATTTCATCTCTCCTTTGAAAGAAAACAGTCAATTTAGACAGTTTTTTAAAGAAGGTGATGGAAGCATTGACAGACTGAGTTTCATTGCTGATGATTCAGGTACAACTTGTTGTCAATTAATTGCAAAGAATGATCCTGTCAACATACAAGCAGAGGGATGATCAGCTTACTAACCTGATGTTTGTCTTGTTGCTGATAACTTAGCTTCAAGTTTTAAAATCACCTGCTGCTGGTCCTCTATCTGCTTCTGAAGTTTTTGAGTGTAGCGCTCGTATTTTTCAGCCTGAAAAAAAGATGGTTTCTGTTATATTTGTTTTTCTGATACACCGGGCAGTCAATGTTTATATGACTTTGTGTGTGTGTGGTGTGTGTGGTGTGTGTGTGTGTGTGTGTGTGTGTGTTATATTTTCATTCAGATGTATTAATAGTTTTTGTAAAATAGAGCAAGTGAACGGGGTTTCAATGAGTAACTTATTATTGGTGCTATTCTTGTCATGTTTGGCTAATGTCCCCGCCGTCGTTACCATCTGCTGCAGCTCCTTTTTAGCATTGTCCTTTTCAATGGAGACCTGGCGATAAGCTTCAAAAGCTTTATTGAGCTGGTCTCCGATGTTCCTTTCCATGCCGTGTGCTCCACAATCATCACTGACACAGCAGACATGAGCCCTACAAGCAAGATCAAAAAACAATATCCAGAAATATACCAACAATCCATTCCTAAAACAAACCACACAGCCAACAACTTTCTGTCTTTCTTTCTTTGACTAGTTCAATAAAACATGGTGATGGTGACCCTATTACCCTACCAACAAGTGTTTGGTTTTTTTACATATTATAAAAACACAAAAAACTCCATAAAGTTGTGTCAAATTGACCAGTAAGAAAACTATGTAAAAAAAAAAAAGATCAAATATAGCCTACTTCCGTAACTGATTATTACCAAATAACATTTGCAGTTCCAGTGAATCATAAGCTTCTGTGCAAAGCAAAAACATGTATTCACATTTCAACAATTGCTGCCTTGTTCTTTAAGATAGTATGTGTTTAAGATGTAAACAAGCAGCTGAGTGTTTGCAAACTGCTGTCAAATACATTGTCAATGCATTTACACATGCACAACTCCACTGACTTCTGCAATTCGTTATTATCCAGAATGTCTTTCAAACTCATTAACAAATTAATTTAGGAACAATTAGGGAACAGCAACAAACCTACTGTTGAAACCAACCTGTTGAAATAGTCAACATGGATGTGATGATTTGGTTAAAAAAATATATTTTTTTAAAATTAAAAACAAAGACAGGTTGATGTCAGTGTCACAATACCAAATGAACTCATTGATAAATAAAGAAGCTTTAACCTTAAAGTCAGAATTACACAGCAGGCTGTGTCACAGATACAACCCAGAAACGACTTCTGGTTGAAGCAAGAGACTCAGTCAGAAAACAGAACATTGTCAACTACATTTTAGCCTACCGAGAAACAGCAGTGAAACACTTGAATTGTCATTCAAAGCGTAGTCCTCACAGTTCCGTATTCTTTAGAGTTTTTAGTACCAAGTTAGCAACAGCTCATTCAACCGGTGGTGGAGAAACCGACCGAGAAACAACTCCTCCGCTCCGTTTCCCTCGCTGCTGCCGGACACTCACACTCCTCTTACCTTCATTCGAGTTACTCTTGAAGTTAGACTTTATTGACACCACCACTGCGTCGTCTCCTAATCTTCACATGCAAAGTTACGAGGCGCTTGAGAGGATATGGCACCGTATGTTTTACATAGCCTGGTTTGAGTTGGGAACTTCCCTCGGGGAATCCCCCCGATCTGTAGACTTCCGCCTTTACCCGCGCTCAGCCAATCAGAGGAGAGCTGGATGTTTAGCTGGTTGAGGGTTCTTCCAGCCTACGCGTCTGCAAACCGACTATTGTGCATGTGAAAACTGTCCCCAAAACTAGGGGTTAAACTGTGCTCATTTAACTCTGCAACATTTTATCTCACATTGTATAACGTCTTAAACGTTTGGTAGAAGAATTAAGCATGCATTGTCGTAAATAAGCTACAAAATAATTGTGAAACACCACTATATAGGATTATGCATCGTGTAGGCCACAAGGCCACAGATCAAATAAATATAGCCTACCAGGTTCAATACTGTCTGTGGTAAAGGCACATTAACAAATAGGCTATGCAAATAAGTGTAATAGGCTAGTCAAGCAGCTGACATGCAATAAGAATGGGCTTTTTGCAATGCAACCAATTTCCTATTGCATTTCTCCAAAGAAAAACACAATTGGATGTGCTTTGCAATAACATTTAAATGCATGGATATATGGAAACACAAAATAAAAATAAAGAAAACTTGCATATAAGTTTGCCATGTGCACCAGACATGTGGGGCAATGGTTGGTTTACAGTTCATTTTTGGGACTAAGATTTTCTGAAGATTTGTTTGGAAAGTGCACAATATCAACTGGGTCATGCAATACTGCTTCATCGTGTGGCTGGATGTGATGTGTTGTTTCATTAAATACCACAAAAAGTCAGAAAGAACATCTTAAACCTGGCAGACAACCAGAACATAAATTGCCAGAAAACTGCCTAGTGCCGTGTGTGCTATGTCTGTGTGCACACTGGCTTACTGTCACACTGCCATGACTAACTGGGAAGTAGGCCTATAATGTTACAGAACCATTGTTGATGTTATTAACACCTTAGCTTTTCCTGCCACAACAGGTGAAAATTTCGGCTGTAAAAAAAGGCCTATTCTTAATGCTTAAGATAAATCCTCAGGGTCAGTTTGTTTCTCCTTTCTTTCCTTGTCTAATGTTTTAGTGTTATTTGTGTTTTAAAAAAGCCCATCTTTGATGAATAGATTGTAGATAAAATCTCTTTAACTTAATATATTCTGTCTGTGTTTGTATTCTGTGGATGAAATGCTTTACTGACAACCTGTAAAGAAATGGTATCATTATAAATATTGTTAACTTTTACCACTCTTTACAGTGATGTCAGAGTGTTTTGAATACACTGATCTCTGCAGCTGGATTATCATTTTCACCACTAGAAGTCAGGAGAAACATATAACCTTTAAGTGTTAAGCAGCATAGTTTTATCAAGTGACAATAACCCAGGTAAAATATGGTAATCCATTCCACATTATACTTCTAAAGCCATCACTTTAAAGACACATTGGAAAACAAACATTGCTGTCTCTGGGACGCTTGAGCTTTAAAAACTATTTTGTAGCAACAAATTACTCCACATCAGGTTCTTGTGTTTTGCAGAGGTTCAGTAACATGCAATGTTGAAGCCTCATTATGCTCACTGTAAAGTGATTCACATCAGTGGTTATTTTCCATATGTTTGAATTCCCTAACAAGAAGAAACCTTATTTCATGTTGATAGGTTATTTCAATTCGATGGGGAAATATGCAAGTCTACATTGTTTACACTACTGTATAAGGCTGCAGTTAATTTTCATTTAGCATTCTTAAAGATTCTTAATTAGTTATAGTGTCAATACATCTAAAACACTAAAGCATGCATGTTTCTCTAGTCTAAAAAAACAAGAATTAAATTCAGATTTTGATTTATTTGACACCTTTAAAACCTAATGCTCTACAATGAAGTTAAATGTCTCAGTAATGATGTGGATTTGTGATAGTGATTTTTCCCACCTGCCTTTTGATTTCTTCATTAGAGACCTTTAGGTAAATGGGAAATGATGCAATGCTTAGACCTGATGGCATTATGTGTCATTCCCTTTCAGTTTCAATACAACTGATCACCCAGCCTCCCATGTTTTGCACCGTGTGCCAAAGAGAGAATTCTCCCCACAGAAAAGTGAAACTCAAAATATAGTGGCAGCAAAGGAAGAACGACCAGTAGATGGCAGCTTTGAGTGATTTCTCATAACTTCTGTATAGTAGTTTTAACCTTAAAGGCATACAGGCAGGGGTTTGTGTTCAAGCAAATACCCTAACTCCTTTTGCAATGTCAGTCTTGTTGAAAAAGAAAAATTTAACTATTAGCATAGCTTTTTTAAATTCAACTTCTGTCTTCTGCCAATATCCATCATTTTTATATAAATATTTCAAACATCAGTTGGCCCGACATAACTCTTTTGCACCCTCCTCAGGGATATGCGACAGGATCTCCCAGGATGTGTTGTGACTTCATGGTGGCCAAGAGGCGCAGATACTGAGATTTCTAGTGGACAAATGTATGTCCCTTATGGGAGATAAATGGAGTGTAGGTCTGATTTTTATAGAATAAAATAGAATTACTTTATTGATCTCAAACTGGGAGATGTGGCGTTACAGCAGCAGGTTATCCAAACACACAATATTAGCAGATAAACACAATATAATATTAAATACAAAGTAAATAAGCACAAAAAATATCAAAACTAAGAATGAGTTTCCAGGATTTAACTCAGCATTACTAGTCTTGAATATGAAAAGATTAAATACAAAATACTTCGCAAGAGGTAGAATTATATAGGTAAAAATTGTCAGCTTTTATGTTGAAGTTGCACAGATGAGATCAAATATAATTTTCTTTAAGTGTTTTTTAGAGACAGTGAGTCATTTCACAATTTAAATAGGCGAACATATTATTTTTCCAGTCCTAGACTACACTGATTAACGCTTTTTGTCTTTATTATCAGTTTGAGAATAGCTCGGCACAGAGTTTTTGGTGTGGTCAGTCTAACACAGTGGGACTCCAGTGGCCTGGCTGCTTTGAGGATCGTTTTCTGGTGTCCTGCCTCAAAGGTTTTCATCTCTGACCCTTGCTGACATTCCAACGTCAACCTCTGATCCTGCTTTGAATGACTTATGCATCCAGAGTGCTACAAACAACCTCAATTCATATAAAACACGTAAAGAATTCCTTTAAGGAGGAGAGCAGCAGCACATCTCAAGGGCTTCACATTTTTGCTTTGAACCCTCAATTTACAACAATCTGATATAACTATTGTCTTGTGGTTCTCAGAAGAAAAAAAGCCATTCAGACTGTGGTATACAGAGAAGCAAAGTTTTGCTAATTGAACAGGGGGTGAGGCATATGAGTCATATCAATAACCACACAATCACTCACCTCAAGTATCATTTTCTATTTCTGTTCAGTCTTCAAGCCCCTCTTTGTTCATCCTTTCTGAGAGGGAAATTCTATTACTGATGCTGGGGATAAAGATATGCTGTGGAAAAAAGTTCATCACATGAAAGAAATATTCTTTATTTTTACCTGTTGTATGTCAACGAGTAAACTGCAATAAAGAAAAGAGAAGCACAGATTCATACGCTTCTCCCTTCCATGTGGCAATCTGCTCCATCTCTCTTTCCTTTCCTTTGTTTTTTTCAAAGCAAGAGCTTGATATGCTTCCCTCACTTTTCCTTCTGTGACCTGTCTTATTTTAACATTCTCAACTAGACGTTTCAAATCGGACCTGAGAGTCGCTGCAGGAGCTCGTCTGACTGCGTCTGAGGACTGAGAGGGCATGCACATTTTAAACCCGGGAGTCAGATTTTAGAGTTGCCTCCACAAAGCTCCTGCATGCATAACTATCAGCACACTATAAGCAGAGAGGCAATCGTTCCTCTCATCTCACAGAGAAGGTATTTATGTGAGACCACAGTGCACTGGTGCTCCAACAATCCATTCAAACTGTAGTGTTGCTTTGTATTTTAAAACTGTTTGCAACCATTTTGCTTTAAAAAAAACCTTATATCAACCATGCAGTTTGTTTTTATCAAGTCCGTACCTCAGAATCACACAGGCCAAGTGATAGATTATTTCATTACTCGTTGCATGACAAATGGAAAATATAAATGTGAAATTAAAGAAAATAGCTAACTTTGGTTATAAGTTGATATACAAAATCAGCACAAGTGCCAGAAAATGCTGATATGTTGCTTTAAATAAGATTAGACTTTCAAAAAAAATTATAATATCTTGTTGCTTATACATTTTTATATGGGTCATGAGGCAATATCACACTCCAGGCTCTGTTGTTGTTTTTTTTCAACTTTCTGCTGGCAGACTTGTGCCAATGACAGAATCAAACGTTGCTCATATTCAATACAAATCACCTCCTCTCTTGTGCTGTTGCTTAATTGTTCCCTCTCAGACCTGCAATCAATCTCTGTTACGCGTAGCCACTTAAAACTGATATCAACACTCAATCTAACAATTAAAGTGCACTGAGAGATGTTGTTCTCTTAAGTGAGCGCCTTTTCTCCGAGACCCTGACCTCACCACTTTCAAGAGGACATCAGAGGCAGAGAGGCATCATAAATTTCAGCTGAAATGATCTCCAGGGAAATGTGGTGTCCTTTTTTTCCAGCATCATCCAGCTGACCCTGGAGAACACATCTGAGAGGGGTCAAATGTGAGGTTTTTGCCCTTTGTCCCTTATAGGATATTGGTGTAATGTGGTTCCTTAATATCCACAATTATAAGTGGATCATTT